TATCTTGTAGTGTTTTTTGTTTGTTTGTTTTAACTTGTTTCCAACTTTTACAATAAGAGATTTATACTGGCTGGCAAGTATCACAAGTCTCAGGGGGACCAGACATCTACTGACAGCCCTACTGTTGTCATAGACCTACTGATGAATTTTTACAGCTTGTCCTAAAGATCCTGACTTTTAAAATGCTATTTGTGGATCTGGTTAATGCTAATCTTCTGAAGACAATTTCTTTCTCATATATTGATATTCACACTAGGTTCTTTTTCTTTCTTTCTTTCTTTTTTTTCCTCTACATTTATGTATGTTGTTATATGCCCTCGAGTCGGCCCAACTCATAGCGACCCCTCCTTGGGTTTCCGAGGCAGTATCACTATGGAAGTAGGATTGCCCAACCTTCCTTCCGAGGAGTGGCTGGTGGGTTTGAACTGCCAGCCTTCTGGTTAGCAGTCAAGTGCCTTAGGCACTATGCTACTATGTATGTATTTATTTATTTATTTTTGGAGTGTTCCCAGCCTTTTGGCTAAGATCAAGTGTAGTAGCTGTTCTTATCAGTTTAGTTTTTCTTTTCAAAAGCAAGTCCAACATGCGGTCTCTTGCATTGGCAGCCAGACTTTGTCCATGCTTTGGTGAGTTGGATTTCAATAAGTGATCAAGTCAGTGATGAAAGTGAAAAACTGCAGCACAAAGGGACTGAGGAGAAAGGAGGAGAGGGTGGGAAAGCAATCGATGGGAAGTCATATGAAATAATGAAATTGTAAAGGAGAAAGAGGATGGAAAATTACTTAGGATGGGTGATTTGGGCCTTATGGTTTCATCATCCTATTTTTGTAGATATAATGTTATTCAGCCATACTCCAGGCATCAGCCATTGTGAGACATCAGGGATGAAATCAATGAGAATGATATCTTTGGATAATGTCCCATACATCCCTCAGCATTCTACTCAATATATCTAAGTATTAATGTTGCTGTTTGATAAAGTGGAGAGAAAATGATTCAAAAGGAATTAAATGAATCAAGGAATGGGGAGACTGTGGTATGTGCCTGACAATAACAAGACAAATACAAAGAAATTGTTATTGTATTCTTTCTCATATCTATGTCTTATCTGTTAGGTCTGTTAAGACATTCTTGACAGAAATTGTTAAGTGGTAAATGGAAGCATTAATATTAATGAAGTATCTAAAATCTGATCACTCAGTCTTTCTTCTCCCTACACATATTTCTCTTAACATTTTTAATGCCTTATTACTTTACTGCCATTCTCATAGGGTCTTCAGACTGGTCAAATGAATTCCATCATTGTCTAACAATACTCAACTTTGGCAAAACAGTCCCAGATTCAGAATGATCATTTCCACTTACCCTCAGTTAATGTCCAGCATTCATCAGGAAAAAAGACTTCATTTCATCTTAGATTTTCTCAAAATGTCTTTAGAATTGCAACTACTTTCCCATGTTGTTGTTAGCTGTTGTCAAGTCAAACCCTTGGCTCACAGTGCCCCCATGCAAATATAACTAAATGCTACCCTGGTCCTGTGTCTTCCCTATGACCCCCATGATCAGACCATTGTGATCCATAGGATATTCATTGGCTGATTTCTGGAAGTAGATAACAAGGCCTTTCTTCCTAATCCATTTTAGTCAGGAAGCTCAGCTAAAACCTGTTCAATATTATAGCAACACACAGCCTCCACTGACCGATGGGTTGTGGCTCTTCATGAGGTGTATTAGCCAGGAATTGACCAGGTCTTCATAGAAGGTGAGAATTCTACCACTGAACCATCCATGTCCCTACTAAACCAAAACCAAAACCAAACTCACTGTCATCAAGTCAATTCGACTTATAGCAACCTCCATTGGGTTTCAAAGGCTGCAAATCTTTATGGAAGCAGACTGTCTTCTCTTTCTTCCACAGTGGCTGGTGGGTTTGAACCATGGACCTTTTGGTTAGCAACCAAATGCCTTAACCACTACATCACCCGAGCTCCTTATACCCCTACTAGCATATCATTATTTCTTCCCAGATTGCAAAACCTCTAGAGGTCTCAAAGTTTCTGCTCTTGGATAGACAGAGAAGGAATAACATGTAAACCCATGAACAATGCTAGAGAGCAAGGGAGGGAGAAAATGGGCATGGCCTAAAGGTTGTAGGAGTGTAAAGGCAGGATTGACCACTGACTGCAAGGAAGTCTGAGCATAAGCATTTATATGGAAGAAAATGTTCTAAACCAAAATGCAGCAGACTCCAAAAACCAAACCCAACCTACTACTATCCAGTTGATATAGACTCAGTGACTTTATAAGACACAACAGAACTTCCCCCCTAGGGTTTTGAAGGCTGTACATTTTTATAGACACAGATGACCACATCTTCCTCCTGCAGAGCAGCTGGAGGGTTTCAACTGCTGACCTTTGGTTAGCAGCCAACTGATTTAACCACTGTACCACCAAGGCTCTTTCCAGCAGACTTAAAAAAAAAAAAAAAAAAAAAAAAACTCACTACCATTGAGTGGATTCTGACTCATAGCGACCCCCATTAGGTTTCCAGGGCAGTAAATCTTTACAGAAGTAGATTGCCCAGTCTTCCTTCTGCAGAGTGGCTGGTAAGCTTGAACCACCAACCTTCTCATTAGCAGTTAAGGCCTTACGCACTGTACCAGCAGAGGTCCTTTCCAGCAGACTAAAACCAAAAAACCAAACTCACTGTCATCGAGTCAGACCTGACTCATAGAGACCCCTCCTTGGGTTTCTGAGGCAGTATCACTACAGAAGTAGATTGCCCAATCTTCCTTCCAAGGAGTGGCTGGTGGGTTTGAACTGCCACCCTTCTGGTTAGCAGTCAAGTGCCTTAGGCACTATGCTACCAGAGTTCCTATCCAGCAGACCAGAGAGGTGCAAATTTCAGGAATTAATGAAATGCTAGAAGGCATTAGTTGGATGCCAACGGGGCAAGAATGTTAAGAGCCTTGGTTCCAATTATTTAGAACAAGAAATGTATGGAGTAGCAAGAGAAGTGCCTGTCTTCTATATTCACATAATGGTTAGATTTTTAGGGAGGCCTAGGGAGGTGAGGTTGGGAGATTGTGATCTTCGTTGTTCACACAGTTTGGAAAAGGGAGAAGTTGTAACTTCAGATTGAAGCCTGGTCACACATTAATAGTCTGGAATGGGGAGGGAGCCTGAAGATCATCTTACCTGTCTTCAAGCTCTCTCTTTCCCATCAGCAACAACCTCTAAAGAATCCTCTAAACCTTAAACCTTCCACTGTAGCCATTAAGGTTAAAATATAAAGTACAAATGCCTCCTAATACAGTCCCTGGGAGGAGAGACTGCAGCTCCTTGTAGGAACCAGGAACAAGGCAGGGGAGGAAGCCTTCCAGATAAGGCATAGCACTTTGGAAAGGTCTTTGACCTCTCCTGACTGATCTGCACTGCAACCTTACGCAAAACTTGTGTGTGGCCTGGGACTCCCATATAGATGTGAGGTGAGGCACTTGGCTTTCCTTGTCACTATTTTTCCTTGTATTCAAAAAATACTAGCACTGAAACTATTAAAATACTTTACTAAAATAAAAGTTGGACTTTTGAGGAAAAATGGGTTTACTCCATGGTATGTGCATCTAATTCTACATACTAGTATATGTTTGTTCTCTGTTAATATTCTCAAAGAATAAGTCAATCACAGAAGGACAAATATTTTATGAGACAGTTATTCTAAAAAGTTGAAGAAAGGTTTACACAGGGAAGGAAATTTACTTTGTTGGTTACCTGGGATGGGATGGGAAGGGAGGGAGAATGGCTGACTAGTTAAGATATTTGTTAACGAGTGAAGGAAAAGGCAATATAGCAAAAGTGTATGATCAGCACATAACAACAGGGAAAACGAGGACACAGTAAGGTGCACAAAAAAGTATAGAAAACAGAGGCAAACATACACAGTATTCAATTATCAATAATAACAGTCAAAAACTTCATGTTACTTGGTTCTGCAATCAACAATGGAAGCAGCAGTCAAGATATTACACAATGTATTGCATTAGGCAAATCTACTGCAAAGATCTCTTTCAAGTGCTGAAGAGCAAAGGTATCTCCTTGAAGACTAAGGTGCGCCTGACACAAGCCATGGTATTTTCAGTTCCCTCATATGCATGTGAGAGCTGGACAATGAATAAGGAAGACAAAAGAAGAGTCAATGCTTTTGAGTTGTGGTGTTGGGGAAGAATGCTGAGAGTACCATGGATTGCTAAAAGAACTAACAAATCTGTCCTGGAAGAAGTGCAACTTGAATGCTCCTTGGAAGTGGGAATGGCCAGACTTCATCTCACCTACTTTGGTCATGTTGTCATAGGGACCATTCCCTGGAGAAGGATGTCATGCTTGGTAAGGTGAAGGGTCGATGAAAGAGGGCAAAATCCTCAATGAGATGTTCCTTTTATTTAAAGTTGTGGGAAAGTATAAGTGGTAGACTGAATAAAAAATTTAATATTACTGACATCTAAGATATATGATTTAGAATTGTGTAGTTTTCCCAAACCTACCAAATCAAATATTATTAGGCAGAAAAAAAAAATCTACAATAATTCCCATCATATTTGGTACATACTGGCTACATATAGCACTAGACTTTTACCAACACAGAGAAGTAACAGGTAAAAAGTAAGTATTTGGGTTTGTGGAGCTACACAGAAAAGCAAGAGTAACACATTTTTATTAGTCCTGATTTTTAACACAACCCCCCTCCAAATAAGAAAAGTACAATAAGATTAAGTAAAATTAACGTTTAAGGGCCAGTGAACAATCAGATAAATATAAAATGCTGGAAAAAAAAAAGGAAATGCTTTGTTTCTGGATTGTTTATTGTATTTTTGGTGATTATGCAATTCGTAGAAGGTGCAACAAGATTTACTTTTGTGTATCCTAGATAATGTAACAAATTTGTTTTATCTTCCTCATAACCTCCTCTTTTATGATTTCTGCATTTGAGGCCCTCACTTAGTTTATAAAATTGGAATGTAACTGTTGATTTTAGTTCGGTGTCTCTGTGAAATGCATTCTGCTATCCATACAATGTTTCTCATTTCTTGTTCCCTCAGCTTTACGTATGCATAAAATACACCATAGTGGAATTGCCTGTTGAATGCCAGCACATTCATTTGTACCTGAGGAAAGAAAAGAAAAGAAAAGAAAACAAAACATGAACCCTAAACTTATTTGGAGCATACTACATTTATGAAATAATATTAAACTATAGCTTACACTTAATCTGCTTGTGCCATGCTCATTTCTGTTTTAGTAAACAATATACAAGTTGGACCAAATAAAGGAAAACAGTGGTAACTTGGTGCGGTGTAGTAAATCACATAGTGTGGCTTTTCTAGCCTGAGTCTTTGTAAACCCTGTGGTGGAATTGCCATGAGCAACTGAGTAGCTCCTGATTGTTAAAGTTATCCATCTGGCGTATGTCTGTTGAGGGTGGCACAAAGAAATCTTCTGGGATGTTCTCTCTCTCTCAGGTGTATAGAATTCTGATGTTGGGATTGGTTGATTTGGGCCATTCTGCCAGGCTCAAAAGCATCCCTTCTAGAGGCAGGAGTCTCTTTGACTGCTGACCATGAAAGACATGCTGCTGAGAGAAACACTCTCCTGAGAGACGTGAGAGAGGCACACTGAGAGAGAGACACGAGAGACATGCACTGCTGAGAGAGAGATGCGAGAGACATGCACTGCTGAGATAGTGATGTGCTACTGAGACTGTTGGCTGCTGAGTGAGATGGCCGGCTGCAGGAGACTGAGTGCATTTCTGAACTTGAATTGTAGTCTGGTGCTTCTCTAATAAACCCCATAATCTGTGAGTTCTTTGTGGCCAATGCTGTGAATTATTGAACCCAGCAGAGAGGTGGTGGGTGCTGCAAGAGGAACAGTTGATTTCAGAGTTGGTGAAAGGGCTGGAGGGAGGCAGCATGTCTGGCCTTGCAGGAATAGGCCTTGGGCTACTGATGGTGATTCTGTCTTCCTCTTGGGGG